TGTAATCTTTCTTGGATTGTTATTTTTGAGTACTTTCTCTAGCCACGAAAAATACTTAGCTAAGCATACAGCTTCAATTTTTTGTGCTATCATTGCATTCTCTATCTCTCTTTCATTTTTGATTGATTTTAAACCTTGAATTGGAGATTCGATAAATTTGCAATTCACGATGTCTTTGATTTCGTTTACAATCCTCCACGAGACTGTTTCAGGGAGTAAAAATGTTACTTTATCATTTTGATTTGTTGCTATCATCTTTTTGGCTTCATTGACAATGTACTTCCATATTTCGTTATATGGTTTAACTGATACTTCGTTTTTTTCCAGTAAAGTATTGACATCATCGGGAATTGGATTGTCAGTAAATAATATAGAATGGGTGTCATCTAATAAAAGATACGAAAAAAAAAACGGATTATAGTCAATATCTGAGCCTCTTAAATTTAATAACCAAGCAATTTCATCCAATGCTGGTGTAAGAAATTTAAACTGGCCATTAGTCGACTCTTTAAGTTTTTTGATTAGAGCATCTCTCTTTTTTTGATACGATTTTCCTGAAAATTCCTCTGGTAAAGAATAAATGGGATTTAATTTTCGGTTCGGAGCAGTTTCGAATTTATTCCAAATAGTATCTATTAAATTTTGTTTAACCTCAACTAACTCAATCTGTGTCTTCAGTTCATTTTTAGAGATCAATTTTTCAAAATCCTTGATTTCCTTGTACGTGATCAGTTTTGGATCAATACCTATTTTTACCTTAGTACCGCCCAATGCCAAAGACATCAGCTTAGCCTCATTTATACACCAATCTTTCCAATTCAATTCGTCTTCCCCCTGTCTCAGTAATTTCCAAGTTTTGAAGTCCAATTGAGACTCTGCTTGCGTAAAATATCTACCGTCAGTACTTAAAATAGCTTTTCCATTTGGATTCTCATCTGAAAAATTGACCAAATCATTTGTCACACAGGCAATACCTGCAGATCCAGTGAATTCTGATATGAAAGCTCTTCTTTCATCAGATTTCACCACATACTCTGATTGATGTTCATCTTCACTTGGTATAATATAACAAAAAAGATCATTTCTCGCCATTAACTTTCTCAATTCCAATAGTTTCGAAACACTTCGTTCATGATTAGAAATTTGGTTCAGTGTGCCCAATTGTCGAATAGGTGATTGAATTGAGATTTTGAACGCATTACCATTTTCAAAGCTTCCTAAGCTTAATGAATAGCTTCTAAAGAAATTTCTCGATGAGCATGGTCTCAAAAAATATTTGACATTATTCCAAAACATAGTTAAGCTATTAAATTATGGATACCATTCCATGAACAGTATGTTTGGATTATTTTAGATCCAACTGAGTCATATTTCTTTTATGTACTATAAGTTGAAGCAAAGTTGCCTTACTTAGACTATATTTTTATACAGTTGGGAGCCCTTTCTCTGGAGAAATGTATAGTCACGTGATGTAGTATTAAAAAGTGATTCTGTAACACGACATCACATGTTAATCCAACCATGATACTATGAGCAGACTAATGACCTGTGCTGAATTTGTAAAGTTGACATTCATTAACAAAAGCTTTTTAAAACATAAAATATATTGCGATTTCAAATTAAATGTTTACTTCAAATTACAAGTACATTTAATAATCCTCATCAATATTCTTTCCCCTAATTTATTGAATTATAACCCTAATCAAGACAACCAAAGGAAAAATCTTTCTGGTGAACTGGTGTACAATAGCAATTGATAAACTGTTCTAAGAACATGCCCATATTCGTAGGTGTTTGACACTTCTATATCATAGCTACGTCTTAAAAAGGAGATGAGATGAGATGAGATGAGGTGAGATGAAATGAGATCTATTCAGTTAATTCTTTTTAAATGATTCCTCGTCGAAATTCAAGAAAACAAAAAATGAATCAAACACCAATTTGACAGGTGTTCGAACCCCAAAGGACGCGCCAGTTTGTTATTTTTATATTTATTTTCATTTTTCGAATTTGTCATTTTCGAATTTGTTATGTTTGAATACTCTTTTAGATTCTCCAGTAACACCAAGGGTTATCAGAATAAGATGAACAATTGCTTAAAACCATTAAGAAGCATTGATTGAACGTTAATTAAACTTCAATTCTTAGCATTGAGTATAACAGGTTCAAATACAATATATTAATTTTCTAATTTATTACATTATATTAATATAAACATTAGTTACCCCTATTTTGATTCAATTGGAATTAAGAATAAATTAAGAATAAAATATATTTCACATATAGTTAAATATTACTATACTTCATATATATCTATAGAAGGTTTACAAATTTTATTATTTGTGTTTATATATGTCATTGTTCTTATTAAAATTGTACATTTTTCATGGTAATTAGATTATTTTAATATATCTCTTTGGAAAAGACTCATGGATGAAGAGACTCTTAAGAGATCAATCTTAAGTTATTCTGTAGAAGATAGAAGGATTTATAGGGCAAGTATCACTAAATTTAGGAAATCCCATTCTCTTTATGTCGCCCTATTAGGTTCATTGGCATTATTGCAATTCATCTCCATTGCATTTTTTACCAAGGGTTTGCTATTTACTAATCATTATTTAGATACCAGTTATAAAACCAATAGTAGAAATAATGTCGATAATATTCCAGACATCGACCCTCAATTTAGTAAGGCAATCGTTTTGGTTCTAGACTCATTGTCTTTAGACTCAATTGCATTTAGCGAATTATCAGCAAATGATAATTTCAATCACCAATTATCATCTCTAACTTCCCCTGATGATGAAATTTCTTCTCAAAAATTGTTTAGTTATGTCTCCAAAGAATACACATTTGAGGCAGAGAGTTCAACTCACCACACAAGTAAATTGCAAGATTTATTTTCTGGAACTGTAACTGATCTAGCAAAATGTGTTAAAAATTTCACAAATTGTCTTTTATTCGAAGACAACTTCCTGCATAAGTTAAATCTTAACTATAAAAATGTATATTTTGCAAATGAGCATTATTGGGATTCAATAGATGGAATATTTTCTTCGAATCAACGACTTCCAGCTACACTGGCAAACAATGCAGAAATTGACACATATACAATTGATCCCAATAAGGATACTATAAATTTTTTATATGAAACTGTTATTGATAAATCTAACGATATCGAAAAATGGGAGGTTTTAATAGGGCATCTATATGGTCTCAAACCACACGATGAAAATCTTGAAACCAATGACCCCAGCATACTTAGAAACCAGATAGAGATTGATAAACTTATAACTGATTTAAAAAAATCTATGGATAATGACACACTACTTATGGTAGTAAGTGGGAACTCAAAATTTTCAACCAAAGATGTGATTAAAAACAATAAAAACATATTATATCTGTACTCTAATGTACCGAATCTTTGGAACTACAGTGTTGCAGATAATAGCAATTTAATTATTGGTAAGGATAATTCAACGTTGAAGTACTCAAATATCGATAAGGTCGATATTATACCATCAATATCATTATTATTGGACCTACCATTACCTGTCGATTCCCTGGGCTTATTTATACCAGAATTAGCAAATTCAGAAGAACATTTCAATACCTACTTAAATGTGAATAAATTGCAGATTCAGTACCTTTTGAAAAATAAAAAAGTCATAACAAATGATTCAACGGAATATATATTATATCCTGTGTTGCCTGAGAATTCCGATTATCTAAGTTGGAAGAAATTTCAACAGAAAATATTGACATCATATAAGGGGTTTAAAACTGTATTTGACTATTGGTATCTTTCTATAGGGGTGTCATTTCTAATTATTTCCCTCATTTTACTATTTTCAATGACCAAATTAATTCCTTCCATTATTGTTAATCAAATGGTTCACCAATTCGCTACTTATATTTTAGCCTCATCAATATTATTCAATATCTATTTGAATTTATTATATTACCTCTTTAAAAGACCAGGATTTATTGATAATCAAGTGTGGTGCATCTTATTTGCTACATCAATTGGTATTATTGTGGGCTGTATTTTGCCCATTTTGATAAAGTATAATCTAAAGTGGATTGTCACAAGATTTTTTAATGAGTTTTCCGACTACTGGTCATTAATTGGTGTTCTTTTTGTGATTATCCATTCTTTATTGATCACTTCAAATTCTCTAACTATTTGGGAAGATAAAATTGTTTCGTACTTATTAATTACCTTTGGAATCCTTGCCCTATATGAATTCGTATTTATACCCAAAAGACAAACGACTAGTGCCGTAGTCACAGCTGTATTAAGTGAACAACATGGTACCTCATCAGGGGTGAGTTCGTCAATTGCAAATTCATATGCCTTGCCGCTGTCAAGGTTTGCCCGCATACTTGGTGGTTACCATTCTTTCATACTAATTTTTTGCACAAGGTTAGCATCTACAATTACAACATGTAGAGAAGGCCAAGAAAAATATTGTATTCCTACTTTTTCAACCGATATTAATCACTCCTGGTGGTGTATGGGGTTCTTCGTTGTTGCACTAATGATTATTCCGGTATGCATAAAGGGATATTATAACCTTTCATCGTCATACCAGGCAGCAGCTCCAATTTGGATTGATTATTTATTAAGAGGTTTTTTAATATTTGACTTTATTTTTTGGTGCCTAAAAAAGATTGAAACCAATACACCAAATCTTTCAATTGATATCTCAATAATTAATTTTACTATTATTCGGATCGCTACAATGTACGCAATGGTTGCATGTAATATAGCGTGGATTTGGGGTCCTTTATGTGTTAAACTTAATGTCAAGAATGCAGATATGAGATCCCAACAATCAACTATTTTAGGGTATTCAAATATATATGGTGCACCTTTTTTTCTATTGATTATTAATGCAATAATAAGTATTTTAATTTTCAATAAACCATTAGCGCAAATTTCATTAGCTCTAATGTGTAATCAGTTGCTGTCATTGATGGAGATTATTGAATTATTAAAATTAAAAGAGAATATAATCGGCTCTGTCATGTTAGGTATTTTATCATACCAGCAATTTTTCAGTACAGGTCATCAATTTACTATATCATCAATACAATGGGATATGGGATTTTTATTGAGCGATAATTTAGAGTTTCCAATAACGCATCTGTCAGTAATTATTAATACATTTGGTCCATATATATTAGTTTCATTTGCAGTTGCATTACTGACATTATGGAGACAGCCTCCTGATATTCTAAAGCCGCAAACACTACTAGGTAGAATTGTTTCTAATTGTGGATCATTGATTACCTATCATACTATAATTTGTTTGAGTTCTTTTATTTGGGTGACACATTTTCGTAGACATGACATGCTCTGGGAAATTTTTTTACCGAGGTTTCTATATTCCTGCATGAGTTTAATGATAACACAATTTGTTGTAACCCTTGGAACAATAGCATTTGCCAGTGGTAGGTTAATTAGGCATATCAATGATATTTTTTGGAAATAATTTATCTAGAATTACAATATATAATTATATATATATATATGGAATACATAAGCGTGTATGTATGATGACTATAATGATAACTCTTTTTTAACAATGAGATGAGGTAAGATGTTCGATATGCAAATGAGTAATAAGAAAAAACAGGCGATTAGAAAAAGGCTGCATCCAGATCACCAAATTCTTCATCAAATTCTGTAGTAAAAGGTTCATTACCAAAGTCTGCAAACATTGGATCCAAATTATCATTTTGTGATTGTGAGTTATCCTCATTTTTATCAACAGTTAACAAATTATCATCATTCAATTGTATTGAATTTTGATCAAGTTGTGAATCTTGCTGTTGAATATCTTTACTTTCAATTTGTATACCTACTTTCTGTTGTCCAGCAATAGAATCTTGATCCGGCAATTGAGCTTGAGCCATAATTTGTGATGGCATTGAAGGTTGTTGAGGGACATTGGTAGGTACCAAAGGTGATATAGATGTTGAATGATTTTGATTTTGATTTTCTTGTTGTCTTTGATCATCTTGCATTTGTTGTTGTTTTTGTTGTTGCATTTGTTGTTGTTTTTGTTGTTCTTCAAGTAAAGTTTGTTTCTGTACTTCCTGTTGTTGTTGATGTAATTTTTTCTGTGCTTCTTCTTCTCTTTGTTTTTGTTCCAATTCTTCTTTTTGGATTCTTTTCAATTCATCTTCTCTGCGTTTCTGTTCTTCTTGTAAGCGTAAAGCTTCCAAATCTTTTTTCTTCTGTTCCTCTTTTTTCGATTTATAGAGATTTGTCCAATAGTCTGCAGGTGCCTCATTTGTATCGTTTTTGAAGTGATTAAATTTTTCCTTTGGATAGAATTTAATATTATTATCTTGTGATTTAAAATTAAATTTTTCCAAATATGAATTTAACACTGAATTGATATTATCATCATTGCTATCACTTGGTAATAGATTAATTTCATTTAGTTTGTATAATTGTTTATTGTAGAAGTCTTTTAATGATTCATTAACCATATTGATATCATTTCCCTCATCATTTAATTTTTCATTAATTTTTTCTAATTCAAGTTTTTGTTTTGCCAAATAATCTTTATTAATCAAAGAAGTGTTAAATTTTAAATTTGGCTTAATTATTTCTTTATTATTATTCAACAACAATACTGATATATTCCTTGACATTGAATTAAAGTTTTTTAAAAGGTAAGAACGATACGAGATTGTATCACTTTCATCATGAATAATAGTTGAAATATTTTCAGGCAATAATCTTTGATTTAAGAAGTTGTATTTGGCTTCCTGCAAATGTTGCTGATGTTGTTTTTTAGAATATTGGGAACGTTTCTTCTTTGTCACTGCCATTTTCAATATTTTATTATCTCTTGTCTCAAGATGCGTTTATTAGAAGTATTTGATGAACCAAAAAAAATAAATAAATGAGCAGTAAACCTATATATCACCTTGAATTAATTCCAAATTACAGATATATATATTGAGAGACACTAGCTAGATGATCTTGCCCTAATAGCATGTGTACTATTTATCTGTATTGTATTGAATTGGCTTTATGTTTATGCTATTGCTTTAAATGTACGTGATTAGTTATTTTATCTCTTAATTTTCCACAATTTCATGTTTCGAAAAGAAAACCCAACACCGTTTACGTATACAATGATTAACCATGTTCATTTCGGAATTTCAGTTATCCGGGTACAATTAATCACGTGACTTGAAATTATTAGGCACGATGGGTTTATATTTTTAACATCGTTTTGATGCAAAGTGACAGCGACAGCGACAGAGGGATTATCTACACACACATACAGAATACTATACCTATGTCAACTCTTGTTACCCACAAATATGATCAACTATTGTTGATTTCTTTGATCCTGTACACTGTACACTATATACTGTAGAATTTAATTTATATATCTGTTGATTGTTATACAGCATAACCCAAAAAGAGTCTCTCATCCCTCAAATAAACCATTGCTGCCTATCGAATTCCATTTTCTGTATTTGTCCTTCTTGTAGCTTTACTTCAGTTGCCATCCCATGGCCCTTCATATCTATAGATCGTTTAACGAATCCATCTGCATTGACAATCAACCTTTTTTTTTTTCAGTTAACAAGTTCTAACTTTACGAAAGTAAATGAGAGATGTTGTCCCATTGTACAATCTAGTCCAGTTCCAGATAAATTAGATAATACTGACAATCACATTAATGCTATTTTACATGGTTTCATTTTCCAGACTGTCTGTCTTTCATAACTGTCACTGTAGTTTGTGTTCTCTTTTGCCTTACCATTCATGTCAGCAACACATAGACAAATAAGTACATAGAGAGAGAAGGTCAATCAGCCTCCCCCTTAGTGCGTTATTATCAGCCAGTTCATTGTGCTACTATAAACTACAAACTACGAACTACAAATCACAAACTACCAGTCTGTATCTCTACAGCGAGCTATCCACACTCATACTCTGCCCCCTTCCCTTCCAGGACTGCCCCTCTCCATCTCAAAATTGGTACTCTGAGAGGTTACCCGCCCGCTCGTAGCGTACTCTTTCCGTCAATTTTTCGAAATTAGAGTCCTTTGCCCCAAATAGGAAAAAATAAAGAAAACAAAAAAAAGAATAAAAGGAAATGTTCTTTTTCTTTCTGGTTAGAAAAAATGTTGTTGTTTTGCCTAATTAGGCTAATTAGCAAAAAACATAAACATAATGCCCATTTTTCGAAATATTATTTCCATTTAGGAAATGCATGTTTGTTGTACACAGCATTCTCACAAAGTATACTATCTCTCTCAATCACAAAGGTATGTATGCCTGCTTACAATTTTTAGTTTTTAAACAACCCTCTCTCTCTCTGGAACATTATCATCATTACCAACACTTGAGCGACACTACACCAAATGGAAGTTGGTTAATGGAATGGGACTTTGAAAAAGTTCAGTCAATTGGCAGAATGAAAATGATAAATTATGGCAGAACTAGACTGCATGGGACGGGATGGGATGTGTGTTCTTCGACGTATCACAATTTGGACCGCAGCAAACTGTCAACTCAGCTCTCATTTCTTCTTATCTTGTTGCTATTTACAGTTCCATTTCAAAATTACTTCTTTCTCTGAAAATTTATCAATTGATCTCTTCTCGAGCTTTTCTCTCCTTCTCGCTTCCACCTATCGTTACTCAGTTTACTAGTACATATTTCTTTGCTACCCTCTTCTTTAAATTTATCATTCATATCTTGCGCTCTTCCTCTCACTCTTGCTCTCTTGCTCTCTTGCTCTCACTCTTGCTCTCTCGCTTTCTCAATCATATTATATTACCCTCTAATTAAGGAACATGTCTATATTTCCTCTTCTGCCTACCTGTAACTACAAACAATGATATATAGTTATTTAAATGTGTGTATATATTTATATATAGCCGATTGTCAATATTGCAATAAAGTACAGAGCCTTTCATAGAGAGAACGAGGCAAGAAAGTACCAATTTTTTTTTCATAAATAAAATAAAATTTACGTTTATGGTTAATTGAATTTCTGTTTCTATGTATAGTTTTAGTCTTGCTATAGTACCTTTACAATCTTCTTTTCAATTTTTTACTCTTATTTTCATTTCTAAATTTTTTTTTTCCCTTCTCATCTAACAACTCTTTATAATACTTCTTTTCACTTACTTATATAAAATATTCGTTCATTAATTTTACATTCGCTTTCCAAACTTATGTCACACAACTCCTTAACCTTGTATTTGTATATAATATAATATATATCTCAATAGCATTCAAGATTGATATTCAGAGTACTTCTTGTTACCCACAATTACCAATTTAAAAAAAAGGATTAAGCATATTGAATTTATCAGTCATAGCGGTGGAGCTGGTATCTGTCGTTTACTATAGTCAATTATAATATAAAAATATATATTCAATTATGATGAATACTAAAGATATTGCATTTACCTTATTCTACTTGTTCTTTATACAAGGTTTCATATCTGGTATAGTTGGTGGTGGTGTAGAATTTGGTATTGCATATGGTATGTATCATAATTCAAAAAATCTGGTCAAGCTATGGAGTTTCCCAAACACTTTATCTGGTGATTGTGCATTAACTTTCTTCGTACAAATCGGTGTCACCTGGGTTTTAGGTGAATTGATGGTAGGTTGGGATTGTTACAATAATAAAGCTTGTAAATTGCCAGATTGGTTAGTAAAAGAAAAACCTGATAGACATATTGCAACTTTTAAATACCTGTTTTTCGAACCAAATAGAGGTTTATTAAAAGATGATCCAAACTATGACGAGGAGGATTATGGTAACCCAAATTCATTTTTAACCTATTTGAAAAGAAACTTCTTTACCTATTATCCAAATAAGAAATTCTTTCCAAATTTAGTAGCATGGGCAATTAACAAAATTGCAAGAGGTTTGATATTTAGTGTTCCAATCTTTTGCATCGTCTGGCCTGTTACAATGGGTATCTTGGCTGGTATTGGCCATAAGATAGGAAAGGACGATTATTACTTCAATCATAAGTGGACTCCACAAACTGCAAAGTTAATCTTTGGTTTCGTAGTAGGTATAATTTCTGCTCCAGTAGTAGCAATGGTAGTAATACTAAGAAATGAATGGTACAGACAAGATCTACTGGAAAATAACTTGCCTCAAAACGATATTGAAGATATCGAAAAAGCGGCTGCTCATAATCAACAAGCCCAAGATGATCAACTGACAACAACTTCTTCATCATCCACAGTCAATTCATCTTTTAACGATCAATTAGTTAATACAGACACTAATATTGGAAATTCTGATAAGCCAATCGTCGTTTAACACTAAATGTTCCCATTTCAAAATTTATTTAAAATAAGAAAAGAATTAATATGATAGATTAGTACAATTCGTTGCCAGTAACACTACAAGACAAGGAGAAACCAGAATACATTTGAACACCAAATTGTACTAATCATAGTGATAGAATACAAAATTTTAACTTAATTTATACTATACCCTTTAATAACACCGTTTAATATTTTGTCTATTTCCTCCTCCCGTTTAGACTCACGTCACCTTATTTAATCCATTCTAATATTTTTTTGTATATATAAACATACACACATATATATATATATACTCTAGTCATCCCCTCATATAAACTACAATAATCAACTTTCGAAATATAATCATCAATAATATCAATATCCCAGTTGTTGGCTCTTGTTAATTGGTAATAACCTTGATGGTATCTCTAAATTGATATTACTGTTATTAATAATGAAGGTCACGTTTTTAATGATTTTTCATTGTCTTCTGTCAAAAAAAAATTTCAACCTCATCTCATCTCATCTCATCGCATCTTGGAATACTTTAAAAGCAAAGGGTATAATTGTCTTAAGAAGTGTGTTCTTTCAGAATATATGGCACCCGTAGATAATTAATCTGATATATCGAAGCAACTGTTGCTAAAGATGGCTAAGTTTAAGTCTAAAAAGGGTTCTTTAACTAACACTCTTGATAACAAGGTTAATGATCTAATTTATAGATTACTAGAAGAAAAAAGCTTGGAGAAAAAAAGACAAAGAGATAATGATCCAGATATTGAAAATGATACCAATAATGGTGATGATGATGAAGTTTTTTTGAATATGTTTTTTGCTAAAGATTTGGATATAAATGAAATTTTCACTTACTGTCAAACTAAAGATTTATCAATGCTGAGAGTAAAGAAAATTATTTTACAAAAGACAATAGAAAAATGTATCAAACAAGTTATCGATGAGGAAAATGAAGAATTCTCTTCTTATCCAGCTTATTGTAATTTTCAGGAGCAAGATCCTTCTGAAACTGAAGAAGAAATTTTAACAAAGAAAAACTTAATGGTAGTAAAAGATACAAATGATATGAATAAAAGTATCACAAGTCAATGGTCTACTTCAACTCCAACACCTGCGCCTATACAGTCAACTCAAGAAGAACAAAAAGATGAAAATTCTGATAGTGCTGAGACAAATAACAAAAGAAAATCAAAAGAATCTTCAACAAAAGCTAAACGTCAAAAAGTTAAAGAAGATAGAACTCCTCCTTCTTCAGATTTGAAGTCATTAGGTGGTATGGATGATGTTATTGCACAACTAATGGAATTGATTGGTTTGCCGATCTTACATCCAGAAATTTACCAATCAACAGGTGTAGAGCCACCAAGAGGTGTTTTGTTACATGGTCCCCCAGGTTGTGGTAAAACATCTATTGCTAATGCTTTAGCTGGTGAGTTACAAGTCCCATTTATATCTATATCTGCACCATCTGTTGTAAGTGGTATGTCAGGTGAAAGTGAGAAAAAGATCAGGGACTTATTTGATGAGGCCAAAGCTATTGCCCCATGTTTGATGTTTTTTGATGAAATTGATGCAATCACACCAAAACGTGATGGTGGTGCTCAAAGAGAAATGGAAAGAAGAATTGTTGCCCAATTGTTAACATCTATGGACGAGTTATCTATGGAGAAAACTGGTGGTAAGCCAGTTATCGTTATCGGTGCTACAAATAGACCTGATTCTTTGGATGCCGCTTTGAGAAGAGCTGGTAGATTTGATAGAGAAATTTGCTTAAATGTTCCAAATGAAGTATCAAGATTACACATTTTAAAAAAAATGTCAGAAAACCTGAAAATTGATGGTGAGATTGATTTTGCACAATTAGCGAAATTAACTCCTGGTTTTGTGGGTGCAGATTTAAAGGCTTTATCTACTGCAGCAGGTACTTGTGCGATTAAACGTATATTCCATAATTATGCTACATTAAAACCAGAGCAACTTCCTTTATCTGACAAAATGGAGATCGACTCTCAATCTAATTCGATAGATATAAAAGATGAATACGATGAGCCAAAGTTGAAAAACACAGCCGATATTATTGATCCATTACCTTTATCGATAATTCAAAAGTTTATCGACAACTTTCCAGAACCTTTAACTGGGGAGCAATTAAGTAATCTGTCTATCAAATATGAAGATTTCTTAAAGGCTTTACCAACCATTCAGCCTACCGCTAAAAGAGAAGGGTTTGCTACTGTCCCAGATGTCACTTGGGCTAATGTCGGTGCTCTGGATAAAACCAGAGTTGAATTAAACATGGCTATCGTTCAACCAATTAAGAGGCCTGAATTATATGAAAAGGTTGGTATTAGCGCTCCAGCTGGTGTGTTGCTGTGGGGTCCACCTGGTTGTGGTAAAACTTTACTGGCTAAAGCAGTGGCTAATGAATCTCGTGCAAATTTTATTTCCATTAAAGGTCCTGAATTGTTAAATAAATATGTTGGTGAATCTGAGAGGTCTATAAGACAAGTTTTTACAAGAGCAAGAGCCTCGGTACCTTGTGTTATATTTTTTGATGAATTAGATGCCCTGGTTCCAAGAAGAGATACGTCATTATCAGAATCCTCATCCAGAGTAGTTAACACTTTATTGACAGAATTAGATGGTTTGAATGATAGACGTGGTATTTTTGTTATTGGTGCTACTAATAGACCAGATATGATCGATCCAGCAATGTTAAGACCTGGTAGATTAGATAAGACATTATTTATTGAACTACCTAATGAAGATGAGAAACTAGATATTATCAAGACATTGACCAGATCAAATGGTACTCCATTGGCTGATGATGTCGAATTACAAACTATAATCTCAGATGAACGTTGTAGAAACTTTTCAGGTGCTGATTTGGCTGCTCTGGTAAGAGAAAGTTCCGTCTTGGCGCTAAAAAGAAGCTTCTTTAAATCAGATGAAATACAATCTGTTGTTCACAATGATTTAGATAAAGAATTTGAAGATCTAAGTGTGGGTGTCCCTACTGATGAAATTATTGTCTCCATGACTGACTTTAGCAATGCATTAAAGAAGATTAAACCTTCTGTCAGTGACAAAGATAGAATAAAATATGACAGATTAAATAAAAAAATGGGATGGACTGAAGAAGAACAAGAGTGAGGCTGCGTTGACTCAAAAGTAAAATATGGAATGGCATAATACATGCTATTCTGTTGTTTTGTACTATAACACATGCATTTTTATATATGAACCGTATCTCATGTATAAACTCTATAAAAATTAAATAATTAGTTAATAATATAGATTCGATAAAAGTATAATTATTTCATATGATGCCCTCTTCTTAGAACATTTTTACGAACTTTCCAAACGTGTTCATATTTTTTTCTTCTTTCTGTAGAAATATATGGTATTTCGGTTGCATTCTGAAGTTCTAAATTATCACTATAAAGTTCTTGGATTGGAGTCTCAGTCTTGTTTCTAACAATAATCCATATTTTATCACAATTTGATTTTAATATACCCAGCTTATGATCAGGAATATATATATTCATCAACTTCTTTTCGACATCAATAGAATGAATCAATAACAAGCTGATGTAAGTTTTATCTTTTATCTCATTATCGATTAAGGGAAACTTTCCTGCGTAGGTGATATCCATAAGTTCCTTAGAATTTAAGGAATGCAATGCAACTATCGTGCCTTCCAATGATCCCTTTATATCATTTTCATTTAACTTTCTGAATTCCTCTGTGAATTGAAAGCCACGAATTCCAGCTTCACCAAAGCTTACTTGAATTGGGGCCTTGGATATTAGAGGATTAAAATCAAATTTTAATCCCTGATATGACTTTTGAATCGTATGCATATAAGTAATCATTTTATATGTTCTAATTTGATTTGCTTGAAACTTGGAAGTAGGGGAATTATTTGAATTAATAGTATTTGCCAAGATATTGTATACAATGGGTTGATAATGCTCATTTAAATCTGAACTAAAATAGTCTGGAATCACCAGATCTGAGAAGGATGATTTGGTTGAATTCGATTCCAGCAGTATAATATGGGTTGGTTTGAAACTATTAATTACATGATTTATTATATTTAGTCCAAAACCTTTTATCCAGCCCGGTAAGTTTAGTAGTGACGTTCCCATGAAAGACTGATCTTCAAATGATTGTATGATCGAGTTAATTGCCTCCAAATATTTGGATGGCATATCTTGAGGCGATGAAGAACCTATATAAATTTGATCCAACATTTCTTGATAGTGGATAGATAAAGAATTTCCCAGAATTTCATTATTTGGTTTTAATTTTGATAAGCTAATACACTCAGGTTCTGAAACCTCACACTGACCTGGATCAAAATCAAGATAAAGCATGTCATTTTCTATCTGATTTTCTGAAATGGTATTATTAAATGTTTCTCTAAGGAGTCTTAAAAATGTGGACTTGCCTGAATTTTTACCTCCCAATGCCAATACCCTCATATCATATTGTGAATTTTTATGAGCAACATTAAGCTTCTCAATTACTGAAACCCAATTTTGTGATATTTCTAATGGAATAAACGGGTCAATATCTTTATTTAAAATGTCATAAGTTGCAGTATCTGAACTAAAAGATTGATTTGTACCATTTTTAAGTTTCCATAGATAACGTGACTCTGGGAATAAGTTACAAACCTCTAATAATGTTTCAAAATTAGAATTATTGATTTTCAGTATACAAGGGAATGCATCCAATCGATCTTTAGCAATATTCTTATACTTATAAGGAAGGTGCAATGATTCTTCCCAGCCAGCATAATGCGAAGAATTAATGGAAGGAATTGAATTTGATAACGGATGCCATACTGTGTATATTTTTTTTGAAGCATTATAATGAACATTGTTATATACAATCCCACCTTTTACCACTTGTAAATTAAATATCCCAGAAATAAAAATACGTTGCTTTTGAGTTAATCCTATCAATATACTGTTATCACTTTGATTTATAGTAATTATATTATAATCTAGAAGAGGGCGGAAAATATTGGAAGAATTCAATTTATTCGTATCATTTTGATCATCAGAATCATATTGTCCCTCATCACTCGAACTATCAAACTTTCTTGGATGGGCCACCAATTTCGATGAGCTTACTGTCTCGGTATCTGAATCTGACGATTCAGATTCATCTGCACTGTATCGCAGAATATCACTTAAATTAGTATTGCTCATCAAATCCAAATTGAACCACACTAGCAAGCAAACAACCTCAGTTGGATCATATTGATCAGAATAATGTGTTAACTTGCAAACTTATCACTTTTTATAAACTGTGTGGTCAGGTTCATTTCGAGATGAGCTTTTGAATAATTTTTCAATTTTGAATATCACATGCATATTAACATCACGTGACGTAAAACGTACACTATCAATAAAATGTATAAGAAGCCATATTAACAATAACAATAGTAAGCAGGATTATTTAAAAAACTTAATACCTACCAACCATCAATCTACAGATCCCGTAATCTATTTGTAACCAGTTCAATGATATACGCTTAAATCACTAGATAAATCATAAACTGTTAGTTGTATTCACTTATTGTACAGGGTTCCCTTTAAACATTCAGAAGTATCAAATGTTTAAATATTCGAAAAAATATCGATGCCTACATGAAAAAGCGATGATGTCAATAAGGTAATGAAATCACCATAAAAGATATAGTTCAAGTTATATTTATTTCGGTGTTAGTTGGTTACTATTGTTTTGTTGTAGCTGTATCTTGAACTAAAAGGTATATCAGAGATCCATAGTTATTGTTGTTTCACATTTAACGTTTCTATTACAGTTATTTGTTGAAATAGGATCAATTTTTAAGTCAGATTTGATTTGGCTAATAGCTAGATTTCAATGCAGCAAGAACAAGAACCCAAGCAGCAAATATTTGATTTTTCGAGGTTTACTCAAAACGAGGAAGATGTTGATGATCATAGTACTCAACCTTCAAAAAAGAAGATAAAGTTATCACCTATTCAATATGACGACTATCAAGCTGGTTCGATAATCAAAATAAAAATGAAAAATTTCATGACTTATGGTTTGGTAGAGTATCAATTATGTCCCTCATTTAATATGATTATTGGTCCGAATGGTTCTGGTAAATCTACTGTCGTATGTGCTTTAGGTTTAGGTTTGGCTTCGAAGCTTGATATCACAGGCCGTGGTGATATAGTAACTCAATATATTCAAAATGGTAAAACATCTGGAAAGATTGAAATTACTTTGAAATATTCAGATCGTATTAAAAATGTCAAAGGTGTTAATCCCAACAGAGAAACGGTTACTATTAAGAGGGAAATAAGTATAGATGCTAAAAAATCTAACTACAAGATTAATAATACTGTGGTTAATGAAAAAGATGTAAGAGATATAGTATCAAAATTGAATATTCAGTTAGATAACTTGTGTCAGTATTTACCACAGGAGAGGTTAAAAGACTTTGCCAGATTGAAAGGTGAAAAATTGCTTTTGGAGACTATAAGAGCAGTTGATCCTGCGTTATTGTCGGATTTTAATGAAATGAAAGAATTACAAGAAGAACAAATAAGGGACGATGTTACTTTAGCTAAGAATAAAAGTAGAATTGAGGAATTGAAAAAGGAAGGAGAAAGATTAAAACATCTAGTCGACGAATATAATACATATGTCAAAATTAAATCTGACCTTAAATTATGCAAAGATGCAAGACCATATTTCTATATCAATGAACACAAGGAGAGCTTAAGAAGTTTAAAACAACAATTTTTAGAATCAAAGGATCGGTTGAGATCATTCAGAAAAGACAATAAACCAATTATAGCAGCCGAAACATCATTAAAGCAAAAGGTAATTTCTGCTAAGGAAAGAAAACGCCAAGAAACATCAAATTTGTTAGCAGCTAAGGCTGCAGTCAAAGATCTTGTGCAAGAGATAAATACGGCTAAAGAATCAATGATCAGTAGCAAAGGGAAAATAAAGTATTACAAAGAAAGGAATATAAAATTAAAAGTACAAATAGATGAGACAACTAAGGACCTAGAAGACAAAAAACAAGCAATAGCGTTGATGAACGTTCCTAAAAAAGAAAAATTTAACGAAATGGAGTCTGAAAAAAATAAACTTATAACAGAAGAGTTTGATTTGAAAAGCAAACTGAAAACAAATGCAAATAAAATAGGAAGGTGTTCACATAATATTAAAACTTTAGAATCACGGATACATGGGAAGTCTAAATTGTTGACTTCATCAGATAGGATCAGAATATTAGATAGTTCAGCTGATCTAAATGATGTTAGAGGAGCTGTTTTAACGATACGATCAAATTCTTCTATGAAAGCTAAGGTTTTGGAGCCACCTATAATGACAGTCTTTGTCAATGATCATTCGCTTGCTCCCGCATTAGCTAAATGTGTCGATTATAACACATCTAAGGCTTTAACAATTACAGATTCAGAAGCTTTTGATAATTTTGGTAATCAGTTAATTAGAACTTACAAAGTGAACACTAGAGAGCTTGCTGCATTTAACAAGACACCTCCTGTACCCAGAGATCGACTAATAGAGTGGGGGTTCGATGGTTATCTAGTAGATTTTGTCAAAGGAGATGAAAAGGTAATTGATATGCTTTGCCAATTCTGTAATATCCATACAATCCCCGTATCGAAAGAATCTCTTAATCCAAGAGTCCTCGAAAAATTAACCTCGGCTAATCGTCACGGTGACATTTATTTTAAAAGAGTTATAAATAAGGATAGACTGATTGTGATTAAAAAATCTCGTTATAACAATAAAATATTCACTATTGATAATGGTTTGGATGATACTATATATTATAAAGCTTCAGTTTTAACACCGGAGAATAAAAAGAAAATAGAAGATGAGATTGCAGGTTTGGGACGTGATATTCAGAAGGAAAAAGATGAGATTAAAAATATAGAGAATGAAAACACTAAATTGAATGATGAAATTGTTGTAATTAAGCGAAAGTTAGCTCTAATTCAGGAAGAACTAAAGAAATTGAACTCCCAAAGAGAAAAATATTTTAGAGTTGAAAATGAAATCAATTCAATGGAAAATAAGCTAAAGGACTTGGAGAAGCAAACACAAGTAGATGTATCTGATAAAATTCGAGAAATTGAATCAAAGTTATTGCAATCGGTTAAAGAAGAATCTAATTTGATTTTCAGAATGAATGAGAAAATGAAAAAGGTATACCGATGCCAAAAAGATGTTTTACACTCTGATGTAGAATATTTAGAAGCATTGAATATTGAGAAATCGATAGGAGATATAATAAATCTGTTTTCTAATAAGGAAAAGGAACTAGAAGACGTGGTTGCCAGTTTGAAAAATGAATTAAGAACTAAGAATAATACAGAAGATTATGAACGATGGAAAGAAGAAACAAGGAGTTATACTGAAGAAAGAAAGAAAATTATAGAGAAATATATAGAGAAGTGTAAGGATAAAGATAATTTGACAGTGGATTTTATTGATAGAGAAATATCAAGACTGGAGTCGACCTTGAAAAATACCAATGAAGAAAAGACCTCTGCGCTATTGTTAGAGAATAACAATAAGGAATTGAAGGTTATTGAGGATGGCATGCCAGATCTAGAGGGAAAACTGAAATCAACAAAAAGTCAAATAGCAGTACTAAGAGATAATACTGAGCCAAAAATTGATAATTTGATTAAAGGGATCTCAAATAAATATTCCCAACTTTTCACTTCTGTAGGAAGTGCTGGCGAGATCAAATTAGAGAAACCGAATAATTTTTCTAACTGGCAAGTTAAAATATTAGTTAAATTTAGAGATAATGAAAGTGTAAGAGAATTAACTTCTCAGTCTCAATCAGGTGGTGAAAAGGCAGTTTCAACTGCTCTGTACATCATATCATTGCAAAATTTTACAAAAGCACCTTTTAGAGTTGTTGATGAAATTAATCAAGGTATGGATTCAAGAAATGAAAAAATTATACACAGAATTATGGTTGAAAATGCCTGTGAAGATAACACCTCACAATATATTTTAGTGACACCAAAATTATTGACAGATTTGTATTACCATGAAAAGATGAGAATTCATTGTGTAATGGCAGGATCTTGGGTGCCTAATACTCAAGAGCACCCTGAAGCTCTAAATTTAGGTGAAACATGTAACTACATGTTAAATACAGAATAGATATATTAATAGATATCTTTATATGAATGTAATTGAAATTATAGAACTATGTCGCTGTATCTGTTACTTCCTCTTGGATAATTCAGTGGTATCTTTGAATATGAAGATGCGTCTTTATATAGTTCTCATCACGTGACATTCGAGATAACAATCGAATAATATTAAAAAAAATCCTGAAGAAAGTAATCTCAGTATTACCATAGCAAGACTAATTGTAAGATGATCAGTATATTAGTAGAGCCTTATTCTAGTAACATTAATTTAAATTTGGACTTCAACATTTTAGGTGTTTATCCACTATAGTCGAGAGTAATTTAGAGGCATTACTGAATGGTAAATGATTAGATCATCGTCCAACTATTACTCTAAGGCATCCCTGCGATGGGCCAGCACCTTACTTAAAGGGAAATCATTATTGACAAAGAAACCTAAAAAGAATGTCCAACCAATTTCACCAGTGAGAACCAGATTTGCCCCATCACCAACAGGGTTCTTACACTTAGGTTCGTTAAGAACAGCATTGTATAATTATCTTTTAGCAAAAAATACAGGTGGGCAATTCTTACTTAGATTAGAAGACACTGATCGAAAAAGACTAGTAAAGGATGCTGAAGAGAATATCTATGAATCACTAAAGTGGTGCGGTATAGATTATGATGAAGGTCCAAATTCTCAAAATCAACAATTTGGTCCATATAGACAAAGTGACCGTACTAAGATTTATCAGAAATATATCGATAAATTGCTTGATAATGGACATGCATATAGGTGTTTTTGTCCAAAAGAAAGGCTAGATAGTTTAAGAGATTCGGCTCAGAAATTACAACCTCCGACCACTGTAAGTTATGACAGAAATTGCCTTCATTTAAATCATGATGAGATTCAAAATAACATAAATAACGGTGTGTCCTACACAGTACGAATGAAGTCACCTGAAATATATCCACCTTTTGATGACCTTCTTCATGGTCATATTAATATCCAACCTCAGATTAATTCAAATGATAGAAGATATGATGACCCTATCTTAATGAAATCAGATAATTTGCCAACATATCATTTTGCAAATGTCATCGATGATCATTTAATGAAGATTACACATGTTATTAGAGGGGAAGAATGGTTACCATCAACACCAAAGCATATAGCCTTGTATGAGGCATTTGGATGGGATTCGCCTAAATTTGTTCATCTACCATTGTTGACAAGTACTAATGATCAGAAGTTGAGTAAAAGAAAAGGTGACAGTTCAGTACTATCTCTAAGAGATAAAGGAATTCTTCCAGAAGCGTTGGTCAATTTCTCTGTTTTGTTTGGTTGGTCTCCGCCTAGAGAAATGTCAGAAATGAATCATGAATGTTTTACTTTATCAGAATTTGAGAAGTTATTCAATCTTAATTATCTGACTAAAGGTAATGCCAAGGTTGATGACAAGAAATTGTGGTTTTTCAATAAGCACTATCTACAACTTCGCTTACAGAACAAAGATGAACTGGCCAAAATAGTTGCACAGGTTACTGAGGAAGCAGAATCGGAATTTGGTAAAACAAATGTTAACGAAGAAAAAATTCAACAAATTTTGGTCTTGTGTGGTAAAAGTATTTCTAATTTGAAAGACTTCAATAAAACATTTTATTACTTCTTTGAGGATCCGGTATATAACCGCTCAATAAATTCAACAACATTTATTCAAAATAGTAATAAAGAGCTCTGTATTCAGATTGTATCTCGTCTTCAAGGTCATTTTTCAAAAGATAGTTTTAAAGAAACAATGGATAGTATTGTATCAGAACTAGAAGTACCTAAGAAAACTGTGTTTGAAACCATTAGGTTTGCTCTTTCCGAATCTCAACCGGGTGCTAAGATTCCAGATCTTATTGAGATCCTCGGAGAAGAAGAAGTACATAAAAGAATTGATAATGCACTAGCATATCTAAAGACAATATAAACCCCATCGAAATGAAGGCTGATGTATATAAAGTTCCATGTAAATAGTTATATTGCATAATATTCATACCCAACAGAGTCTTAATTGTGCACGTGTTTTAGAATCACGTGTTTTATATTTGTCCTTTCTAGACAAGGAAAAAGACGGTACGAACAGGTGATGAAATGTTCCCTAAGGATCTAGAAGCTTCAAGTACTTTCGGAAAGTATACTTAATAGTGTTGAATCAGCTGTATATATTTAAACACAACATTTAACAGGTCTAAGATTACTTGATGATCCCTTAAAGTGTTGCTTTGTATTATATTACACTAATTTATTTGGCCTTAGAAAAAGAATTATACAAAACTACAAAGGAATTTGAAATGTTTGCTGCTATTGCATCAGGAAATCCAGTACAATTATCCACAGAAGTACCTAACTCAAATGGTTTACAACATACAATTGTCCTTTCCTCGACCAAACCAAAGTCCTATTCGCATATTAGTTTATTTATATTACCAAATGTAACATTTCCAGAAACATATGTTGCAACGGTATACTTCAAATTAAACCCAATAGAGGATTTTAAGCTATTTGGATACTTAAGCTCTGAAAAGCCAAGTGCCATTTTCAAGGTTAAACTACCAGGACCCAATCCTACTCCTGTATCAAGTATGAATGGAGACGGCCTTGGTGAGATAGATATGGATACTGATGAATCTTCAAATATAGGAATTGGGAGTAATATATCAGAGTTGATTATTGGTATATCAATAGAACCAAGAGATGAAGGGTTAGCAAAATTAAAAGAGTGGAAAGAGGAACAAGAAGCATCTAATAACTCTTTAGTTTTATCAAAACCAAATATTGCAACTGGGATTACGACCGTGGGGCAATTGGCTTCTATCTACCCTGTATTAACCCAAGAATTGGCAGCTAAGATTGTCCAACATGCTTATAACTATTTATCTGGATTTTTGGATTCCGGCGGTAACGTGTCTATAAAGAGATTTGATACTTGGTGGGATAAGTTTAGAAATAGATTGGCTAATGACGGCTCATTTCTAGATGAAGTAACGAATAGTTGAAGTTAGACTTTGATAAATATTTAACGATAAATAATTTAAATAATGCATTGTAATGAAACAATAAAATTTGGAAAAAAAAAATAATTCTAAAATTGATTATACTTATATTAAACAGGAGGTTATATTCGTAAAAACACTACATACATGGAGAAAATCAATTTTTCCATCATTTAATATTTGATATTGAAAGCTTAGTTGGTGGCACCTTGTAAAGCTTGCTTGATGTCATCTAATAAATCATCAGAATCTTCAATACCGACAGATAATCTGATTAAATCATCGAAGACACCGCTGGCTTCTCTTTGTTCCTTTGGAATACCACCGTGAGTCATGACAGCTGGAACTTCCAACAATGATTCAATACCACCTAAAGATTCGGCTAAAGTAAATAATCTAGTGGAAGATGAGAACTTGGAAGCGGCTTCAGCACCACCTTTAATTCTGAAGGAAATCATACCACCACCCAAAGCATCTCTGTGTTGCTTCTTGACAACTTCGAAGTTTTCGGATGAGGGTAGACCTGGGTAGTTGACAGCAATAACATTTTCGTTACTAGCCAAGAATTCAGCGATCTTAGTAGCATTCAATGCAGCTTGTCTAACACGTAAGTGTAGAGTTTTCAAACCTCTGTGAACTAACCAGGAATCGAATGGAGATGGGATGGCACCAATAGCGTTTTGCAAGAATTGTAATCTTTCATAGATATCCTTGTCGTTGGTGGCTAAAACACCTAAAACAACGTCAGAGTGACCGTTAATGTATTTAGTAGCAGAGTGGACAACGATGTCAGCACCAAAGTTCAATGGGTTGGATAAGTATGGAGATAAGAAAGTGTTGTCAACAACTAAAATGATATCTTTCTTTAATGACTTGATAGTTTGAGAGACTAAACCAATATCAGTAACCTTCAAAGTTGGGTTAGTTGGGGATTCAATCCAGACTAATCTGGTATTTTCCTTAATCAATTGTGGTAATTCTTCGACCAAGTTGTTGGTAAAAGTAGTTTCAACACCATGAGTGTTGGCAACTTTAGTGAAGTATCTGTGAGTACCACCGTAAACATCACCAATAGAAACAGCATGAGAACCTTGAGGTAAGGATTGTAAGATAACAGAGGTTGTAGCAGAACCACTAGAGAAGGCTAAACCATATTTACCGTTTTCTAAAGCGGCAATGGCATCTTCTAAGTTCTTTCTGTTTGGGTTTTGAGATCTAGAGTATTCATATTCACCGATAGGTTGAGCTGGAGCAGATTGCTTGAATGTAGTAGATAAAGAGATTGGTTCAATAACAGAACCGTGGACATCAACGTGAGAACCAGCGTGAATAGCTTTGGTAGCAAATTTGTCAGTAGCCTTCAAACCCATTTTTATATGCTTAAAATTTGATTTATTACTTTTTTTATGTTACCTAAACGATAATTTTAAAATTTAACTATATTTTTCCCAGGTTTCTACCTTTGTTACAGTTAATTCCTTAATTGCCTTAAGTGGAAAGTTGAATATTACAATTGAACCAAAATTTGGATAAATAATACCTTTATTACTTTCGACAACTGTGCTGTATTGCTTTGTATTTATAGTAGTTGATAAATCGAACCGTAAAATTTTTCATTACTAATTTCGAAAAAGAATCAATCCTCACGTGATGCGCCACAGTTCGTAATACGGCAATAAGTCACGTGCGATTTACAAAGATTGTCGGATATTAAAATGAGTGGTTCAAAATATAATCATCATGTTAATGAATGAAGGAATATTAGTCAATTCCCACTGGATGTGAGCCACCATTGCGTTAGATATCATAAGTCAATTGAATATTAGAAATAAAGTACAGCAGCAAAATGGCTTATTATATGGAACGTTAAAAGGTTCAAATGGGACACGTCTTGGAATAGAAGTGCAAATAAAAATACAATGTGGGAGTAGATTAATGTCTTGAATATGGGTAAAAAAAATTATTAGATACGAGTACCCCTTCATAATTTTAATGAAAAAAACCTATCCTTTTCTTATAAATTGGATATCATCCATAACTTCTGAATCACGTAAACCGTTCAAATCTGGCGCACCTGGGAAACCTTTATAAAACTGTGTCAAACCTTCAAGATCACTTAACTCATTATTTAACCTCATTCTGTCAACAATTACCTCTAGTTTATCTACAGGATTGGATCTATAACGGAATTGGATGTTTTCACACTCTAGATCTTCACTTAATGGTTCACCAGGATATCTTTGCTGAGCAGGACCAGCATAACCTGTTATGCAACTTAATGTTTTCCCAGTCATCTTAATTGGAATATGATAATTGATATCAGGCACTATTATATCCATATCTCTTCTTTCTTTATTGATATCATACCACTTTTGTGTAGTGTCAGTCAATAAATTGTTTCTGAGGTCAGTCACTCTTTTGTAAAAATCTTGATGGATAAAAGTCCTTGTGGCTCTTGTCTCTTTGTCAATACATTTCAACTCATATTTTTGTAAATTATAAGCTCTACGTAGTTTATAATCCCTTATTGAGGCAATCTTAGTATAATAATTTTGCAGTTCTGGGTGTGATCCTTCCAAACACATTTGCAATTCTGTTTGAAGTTTTACCAACTTGTTTTCATATAATTTTTGTCTTAATTCTGCAAATTTGTATTCGATATCTGTTATATCTTTTAGTGCACTTAACCTTGTCTCTTCTAACTCCATTGGGGAAGGCATCATTTTGCTTAACTTATCTTGTTCTTCCACTTCATCCTCTTCCTCTTCCTCTTCCTCCTCTTCTTCTTCTTCATCTTCGACTTCGTCTTCATCTTCGTCTTCATCTTCTGGTGAATCTTCAACTTCAGCTTCAACTTCTTCGAATTCATTTTCAGTTCGATGATTTTCAGATTTTGTTGACTCCTCAGTAACGGAAACCTCGGTAGTATCACCCTTAACCTCTGGTTCGATGGCTATAGCACTAGTTTCAACTTCGGCATGAGTTCCTTTATTATCGTTGATATTATTTGAAACATTTGGTTCATTATCTGTAGTTGTTTCCTTTGTTTCATTACTATCTTCTACTTCTGATGGTGCTTGAATTTCGACTTTCTTTTCTTCCTGTTCGATCGGAGCATCGACAATATCAGTTGTCTCTGAAATAGAAGGATCAGCTTTCTCAGATTCCTTCTCTAGTTTAATTCTTTTAATATCGCCATTCTCATTAATCTCTTCGTTAACTCTTTTCAAAGAAACACCATTTTCTTCATTACTTGGAATCAAGTCAGATAATTTCGGATGATGAGCGTCTAACTCATCACCATTTTGATCACTTGATTTCTCATTGAGTTCCATCTTTTCAGTCTCTGCGTCACTAGAAATACAATATTCTGATAAATTTGAATTACGATTTGAATCAACGTTACTCAAAACACTTTCTATCTCTTCCTTGTCAACTATGTTGTTTGTAATAGTAGTGTTCTCTGTCAAACTATTAATATCACTAGCACTTGATTCTCTAGAGGTTTCTTCACTCATTTGCCAGTTTATATTCTTCCAATTAATTTTCTCAATGCAAAGGATCAAAAATGTCTCTACTATGTCAATAGAATAAAATCTCTTTTGCAAAAAAATATGTTGGATATGGGGATGTAAAATAAAAGAAGTTCGCAGATGACAAAAAAACCAATCGTATAAATTCTAATATAACTTGAAAATTATTCCAATATAGTATATTCTAAAATAAATCTATAACAAAATTATAAACGCTATCTCTCTTTTTCTCTCTCCAGTTCTCTTCTGAACTCAACTTCTACTATCTTCTCAATACTTCAATAAAGATAAATATAAAACCACGATGTGGGGGGGAGGACAACAAATTTCACAATTTCCTTTAATGTTCTTGATTTAATCCATATTTCCATCCAAAACAAATCTACATTTTTGTTATTCAAATAACTTTTATTGTATTGTTTCTTCATTATCAACTTTTCAAATTATTGATTGCACTAACAAAACTGCTTTGTTAATTATGGACGATTCAAAAAATTAAAAAAAAAAAATAAGTTAGAGAATTAAAAAAGGGTCAACGTATTTTTACTTATTTTGGATACATTTATCTTCATTAGGAAGTATGAGACTGTTTAGGAATATATTGGGTCATGTGATCATATTGTTGCTCAATTTGGAAATTACATTCTTCTGTTGACGGATTAGGAAATGATTGAAATTTCAATCATTATAAAAAGAATTTCGAAAATTAATATTAATATCAATATATATATATATATATATATATATATAATGTTTAAATATTACAAGAATTACAGAACCTTTAACTACATTTTTGGACATAATAAAAAGATGAGAAGGCAGTCGAAAGATCTATTCATAGCTTTTGAAGTGGCAGTAATTGTTTGCTTTTTTTACCAGTGGGTGTTGGGTTCGTTTCATTAATCATTCTTATAATTAAAGATATCAAAAGAGATTAAATTAAATTAAACTAAATTAAACTAAATTAAACTAAATTGAAATAAAAAGATTATAGATTGGAAAGGAGATTTAGCGCATACAGATACAGATAAAATGGTGAGTTTACAATTATCATATAATTTGGATAAACTAAAGGATATCATAGATGAAAGGACAAGACTCATAGATGTGCTGAAACTGACGCCGTCCAAGAATGATACTACAGCGTTGAAAAGGCAATGTTCTTCTGTGTTAGATGTTTTGAATGACCAAACTGCGTCTGATATTACTCAAGACCAAATTGATTTATATAATAAGTTAATAGAGAGCATTCCAGATAAAGAGAACGTAGATCTATCGTTGTACAGGTTTGAAGCGACTCCTAACGACAGCATGGAACTTTTAGGAAGTAACGAAAGCTCAAGGACAACGACTTCAAAAAAAGTTAGGTTTAATGATGATGAATTAGTTTCATATAATTCAAAAGAAGAGGTCTTTAAGCCATATAGTGATGAGCCAGAACAAGATAAATCGCATGAATGGACTACTAGTGGTGATAATGTAGTTCCGTTAGTTTCAAATAAAGATTTGTTCATTCAACAGCAGCAACAGTTGATGCAACAAGATTCCCATATCGAACAACTTTCGAGTTCAGTACAGAGAACTCATGACATGTCTCTTGATATTAATAATGAAATAGAGGAACAAAATGAACAGGTATTGCATGATTTAGAAGATTTGATTGATAATAACAGTAGACATTTAAATAGAGCACAAAGAAGATTAGAAATTTTTAACAAGGCAGCCAGGGAAAATGGCCCCTGTTTCATAATAGTAATTCTGATATTAATTCTTCTCTTCTTACTGATCATCCTGTAACGATAGAAAAGGCATATCACTAAACTTTGGGTTTTTGAAGGGGAGGAAAAGAAGATACTGTTGCTAAATTGCTTTACACCTTTATTCATGTTTCTTAATGAAAGTAACATTATCTTTTTTTAAAAAACTATATATATATATATATATATATTATATCAAATACATCAATAAATACAAACCCCGATAATGAAGAAGAAAATTTACGAATTAATAAAACCAATGAACATGAACATCACACATGAATTAAAACTTTTATGATATAATAAAACAAAATAGGAAATGAAGAAGCAGAATTTAGGCTCTATTAGCCTTTATAGAGTAGTTATGGCCCATTTGATTGTTGATCAGATATGGATCACCTTGCTGGAAACTATTGTCATTTTTACGATTGTTAACCATTTGACTTTGAAACTGCTGGTTTTGAAGGAACATTTGTTGCTGCTGCTGTTGTTTTTCTAAACTTTTTTGAGCTAGTATCGAAAGTAAGTTATTATCTTTATTTTGTGATTGGATATTAGATTGATTACTCTGTTGCTTTAAGAAAAACATGTTATTGTTGTTACTACCGCTGTTATTACCGCTATTATTGCTTGATAGCTGTAATTTAGTATTTTCATGGATTAGATATGGATTTGGAGTATTTGACCTATATGGATTGCCTAAGATGCTGCCGTTATTACCTGTATTGCCGTTGTTATGCAGATTACCATTAATGGAATTAATATTATTACCACCGTTTAGAATCATACCACCAGTTCTTTTGTGATCTATGTAAAAAAATGGATCATCGTTAAATGATTTCTTATAATCCAATCTAATCCTTGCATTTCGTACAACCTGGTCATCATACTGTTGTCGCAATTGTAAATTAAAATTTTGAACAGAATGTTGTTTATCAAAATTTTTATTGATCTCGGAATTTAGTATATTATTACCATTTCCATTACCATTATTATGTAACTCGCCACTTAATTGAACTGGTGTCATCCTTATCAGTCTCACACGTTTCAGAGATTTGGAAATCCTACTTATAAATATGTGTCTTCCTATTTGAAACTACTTATACACAAATCCATTTTTAGTTTAACAGATTCAACTTTATATATCAAAAAATCGATGAGCTTTGACATTTTTTTTTGGAATTTTTCTTCAAAAAAGCTTTGGGTTTCCCGTAAGGAAAAACTATAAAATCGTGTACAAGGAAGGTATTGGATAATTTGGTTGCTATAACATGATTAATGACAGCAATAGTAATAAGAAAGATCGGTTGATTGATCAACTGAATTGATCTAAATAGAGATATTGTTTAAATACATTATTATTGTGCTAATAAAAAGGGTAATGAATACATTAAATTAGATTAAATTAAATGAGATGAAATGAAATGATTAAAGATGATGATAATGATAATGATAATGATTAATGACGATTGATCATGATAATAATAATGATATTATTAACGGTAATGGTATTAATAATAATGATATTATTAACGGTAATGGTATTAATAATAATGAAATAAATTAGTCATAAATGTCTTTTAATTTTTTTGATTATAGTAATTCAAATTCTGCTAGTAACGGAATATGATCACTTGGATGGTTTGCATTAGGTAGACCAAATTGATTATTTTTGTTTAACTCCTGTGAAATTTCTACACCTGTCAACATCTTAGTTAAACTAAAATCGGTATCATGATACCAAACATAATCAAATATACCTTTTACTTTTCTGAGTAACAGGTATGATCGAATAGGTTTTTTGGAAAATCATTATAACAACAACTGTTTAAATATGGTTTCATGGGGGTAATCATATTTAAGTCCCCATGCTTAACAATATTACCTTTTAAGAATTTAATACTAAATGAATCTCTTGTAGAATTTAAATCACCAGTAATAAAAATTTAAACATCTTTTGATAATGATGGATCTGCTCCAATTAATAACTCGTTGATAATTTGTGATAGTTTCCTCATAATAATCATGCATTGAGTTAATTTAACTTCGTCGTATTTCCAATACAAATGTGTATTGATCACAACAAATACATTATTGGTTTCCTTATGTTTCAATGACACAAATAAACAAACTTGATTACGATTCTTTAATATTTCATATAAGGTTTCTTCACCAACAGGGTTACCTGCACCATCAGTTAGTTTTACGATTTTTCTTTTCATATAATTTAGTTCATGTTCCTCGAAGGTATTTACAACATCGTTCAAAAATAATCTGGTAGATGAAATATACTCAAATTTATCGAGGTTGAAAAAAATACCTTCTCCATCCATTTGTTGTTCAGTTTTATCCCAATATTTTGGTGGAGTCTTTGCAACAAATTTAGATCCATAGTTCAACTGCTTACCAAATACTGGTTTCCAATAACTTAGATAATCTTCCCATGTCAATTCTTGTAAACACATAACATCAGCTTTATACGTCCTCAATAATTCATCTTCTAATAACATATGTCTATACTTCCAATCTTTAAATTCATCAGGAACATAGTTGTATACTTGAGGCCACATATAATATGGCGACAACATGTTATATGTTAACAATGTGAATTTATGGCCAGGGATACGTCGAGGTATATTTATCCCATTGGGCCTCTTACAGAGTATACTCGATAATGAGTTCAATGGTGCCACTGGTAAAAACCTTCTCGTAAACATTTCGTCTGGACCTGGGAGGGTGTGAAGACTGAAAACTTCGTTTCCCTGGAGGAATAAATCAGTATTACTTTTTTGGGGATTAATGACTAGCAAGGTGAATAGAATAATAATTATATAAGGGACCAACAACTTTAACAATTATTATCTTTAACAAAAAACAATTATTTTTTTTTCAGCAACTTCGATTTAGCTTTCTCGAAAACTTTGTATACGTAGCAATAATTTCTAATTACAAAGTTCAAAAATGCCCAACTCTAGAGTTACTTCAATGTTTTTAAAATAAAGAAACGTGTTGAATTCTTATTTATCTTCCCTTCTTAAATTAATTTTAAACCATCCACTAATCCAAAATTATTTCGAATCGACAAATTTCAAAATTATTTCTATAACTTATATGTATTCTGATATATACTGTTTCGAAATTTCGATTTTGAAAACTTTCATTAAATCCGTAAACTTGATTATTATTTATCTGGTTGCCTTAGAGCTCAAATCTCCATTCGCCAGTAAAATTAACCCTTTGATGACAGACTTTTTAATAATAACATTTCTTTCTTTTACCAATCAATACATTATTATTTCGAATTGATATTTCCTAACAAGGGGAAATATGTCCTCTCGAATGAAAAACTCCTAAAAATCGAAGTTGACAACCAACCCACTCACGGAGATATAATGTAGGAGAAAGAAAAATTATGGAGGCTTCATGTAAGTTCAAAGTGACCTCAATAAAATTTGACTGACTAGTTAGTATAAATAAATTTCGAATTTTGATTGTTTGTCTGTTCCTTGATTAGTTTACCTTAAGTTTGCAATTAATAATATATTTTGAATCGAATGGAGAAAAGGTGTTGTTAAGAGTGTTCTCCCCGCACCAAATGATAGGTTTCATTCACTTTCGTCGTACATTTTATTTGAGTGTATCGCAGATAGTGTAAGAATGTTGTTGCATTTAAGATAGTGTGTTCTTTAGTTGTTGTTATTGGATTTAAGCAAAAGTTATCCGTGATAAAATATTATTTGTGCTATTATTTGTTATGATGGGTATGTGTGTTATTCCCCTTCCTTTCAGTTGTTGCCATGTCGATATCTTGAGTCGTATTCCTTGCGTAATTTTTGACATTGATCTAAAGCCTGCTTCGAAAAATATTGAACATCTTGATCCTTATCAGATAAATGATTTATTAAGGATGGTAAAATTAACATGTCCACTATGTCTACTTGACCATCTAGCTGATATAATCTCTTGGCTATCACCCCATAACTTTTGGAGACAGTAAAACGAATATTAGGTACTGGGTCGTTTTCTAAGCCAGAAACGAAGGGAATAATATCCTGTTCTATAATATCACAATCTACCACTCCTGTTAATGCAGTTAGTGCAGACAAAATAGTTGAACGATAGGCAAAATTTTCTAAGATCTCTTTATCCGAGCTAACTAATCTCCTGATAATATTTTCTCTTGACCAATCTTTTCCAAATATCTCTGTTAACAAAGTTAAATTCTTGATTGCAGCTTCTCGGATGACATGAACAGTATCCCATAACCAAGAATAACATAATTCTGTCAATTGTAAATGAAATATCTCAACACCTAATTGTCCAGCCAATATTGGGATATATTCTACAATAGCAATTCTAATTCTCCAATTCATATCTTTTCCAAGTTCAAAAAGAACTGGTAGCAAAACGTCGGATAAAATTTTAGCACCAATAATATCATTAACAATCTTCAAATTTCCAATTATATTTAGCCTAACTTCAGGAAATTCATCCTTCAACATGCTTAAATATATAGGTACTAGGTTGACTATTGTTTCTTCTTTACCTAGATTTGAGGAGATATTTCCGACAGTCATTGCCAATGAAGCTCTAACCGTCTCATTCTCATCCATGCTTAGATTTTGAATGTAAGATATGAAATAAGCTAAAATCAACGTTTTATTTTTCAAAGAATCAGCTAGCAAATACAACCTTTTTCCCATCACTTTTCTGACTTCGATTTCGTTGTCATCGCATAATGACAGTAATAGCTTAAGAAACGAATGGTTTGTATCATTTTCATCATTTAGAAGTGACAATAAAATATCACAATTTTCTGCAATTGAGCAACGTACTCTCCATGCTTCATCTTGGATCATTTTATTCACTACTTTAAATAGAAAACCATTATATTTTTCCTTGTTATTAATTTCATCAGATTGAAGTAAAGTTATGACACTATAAACTGACAATGCTCTTACGGTATCTTGTCTATCAGAACTAATTTTTTTCAAAACAGTTGAGATGTATATCCAAATGTCGTTATCAAGCTCATTTTGTTTAATAATGATTGTATTGAGAATTTTGGGAAAGGCATTTGCCGCAGAACGGCGTACCATTGGAGTTTCATCTTCGATTAGTTGTAAGAAAAGAGATAGTAAATTATTGATAATTATAATGTTATCTAATTTTGACAAAGCTACCTCATACAAATTTGTAGCTGAAACTCTTGCAAAGAACCAGACAGCTTTAGTTAACCTTTCAATCAATGGAACGATATCATAAATAAGCTGCGTCTCTGATGCATGTTCGGTAAAATATTTTAGTGTTGGAATTACCTTTTCCCTAACAATAGTTTCCTCTTTTGTAGCTAGAATTTCCAATATATTTAGCAAGCATGTTACATGTTCAATACCACCAATGTAAGGTAACATATTGTTTACTTCCTCTGACAAAAATGACAATACCTCATCTTCGTCATCTTGAGCAACCTCCAATAAATGAGGTAAAAGCTGTTCTCTTGTTTTTTCTGGGCCTAATAAAATAGAAATTGTTTTCCATTTTTTTATAACTTCAATTCTATTTGCTGCTTCTTCATGATTCAATTCAGATAGAAATAAGGATAATGCAAATGATTCATTTGAATCATATGTACCTCTTTCTGGATGAAAACTTGTATGATTGTTGTCAAAGACCATAATGAAGGGCAGTATTGGGGTATTTTCGATAAGGTAAAAATTCTAATAATTATATGTATTTAAATCTTGAATATATGATAACTATTTATAAATAGGATTAATTGAGATAAAATCTTAGCCTTAAGATCAGCGGGAATGGAGAAAAACAAAAAATAAAAATAGTGATAAAATAAAGTGAATTAAATCAAATTAAATGAAACCAAATGGAAACACTAGATATTTAATCTAATTGATTAATATGGATTGGTTTCTTAGTTTCATCATTTGAGATCCATCATCAGAATTACTTTGTCTTCAATATCATTCATTTTGATTATTTAAATGTACTTTGTACAACACCGACTTGAATATTATTTTAGTATTTGGTAGTCATGGGAGGGTAACCCATAGTCTTACATGAAAGAGAGTACTAATGAACAAACTTAAGAAGAAAGTTATATTAAGATGAGGATATTTTAATCTTTTAAACACTTGCTAGAATGTTCAATAGTTGCATTAATGATGGCGCTAGTTTACCTTTGATATTTAGGATAAGATCCTTTGCTTTTCCTAAAAATCTTAATCTTCTGGATAACGTTACTATTAATAATATAATGACAATTAAAGATCTATGAGAAATTTCTAGTCTATTGTAGAAAATAGATAATCTTCTTAGAGTTCTGGAGATTTGATTAGTTAATGACTGATTATTGGAACTTTGTTCAGCATTTTTATCCTTTTTATCTCCCATTGTCTTATTATTAGAATTACTACGTTTATGTTGATGTTGATTATGATTATGATTATGTTGGTGTTGATGTTGATGTTGGTGTTGCTGTGATGAAACTGTTGGCTTTGATTTTTTACTTACTTTCTGATCCTTTGGGGTCAATTGATTCATAATCATATTATAATAAGTTTGGCCATTCTTTGTTTTAGTATTTAACAATTGATGTATCACTGGGTTTGATTTGCAGAAAAGTTCATAACGACTAGTAGTTAAACTATTCTCTTGTAGTTTTATCTCTATATGAACAAAATAAATTTCAATCATTTCACATATCTCCATATGAACATCTTCAGAACTTTCAACGTTAATCTTCGCGATTACATTTTTAACTTTATAACCTAAATCAATACTTCTGACTTCATTATCTTTAATACTGTCAGATTTTAAAAATTTAATGTAGCTTTTCAAAAACTTCACATATAATGTCAAATCATTGTTTAGACTAGAATCATTATCTTCCAAATATTTATTTAAAATCGACTCAACAATAACAAAATCTTCCGATTTAATTGATTTAAAATTAGGGATATTTTCACAAACATTAAAAAATAATTCCAAAATTGGAATGTCACTATCCTCCATTAAATTCTGATCCAAAAACCCATACTTATTCATCAATTCAATACATTTAATAGGATCACCTCCAACAAACGTATTCAAACACTGTTGGTATTTTCTTGTAGTATCATCAACCTTGACTTCACTCTCATCTAAAAACTCATCTTCATCTAAAACTTCAGGAGATGAAAGAACACTGGAATTCTCAACACCCACTACCATCATATTATCTAACTGACTATTGAGCATTACTATTCTCTCTAATAAACATCAAATGAACTTTAATCCATACATATATCAGAACTATAAAAAGTTTTCTTATAGATCAATCATGATTCAACCTTTTTTTTTTTTATTTTGATGTCGAACTTCTTTAAATATCCATAATTTTTATATTGCGTAACGTTAGAAGACGCTTTGTTAAACGGTAGAGACTTCGGCTTTTATAACGATTATGTAGTAAATGAAGATAGTTATAATTGGTATTATTTATTCAATTATGATGTATTAGTTGATTAATTAATTACTTGGTTTATGTCTGAATGTATAAATGGGGGGGTGTTAAGAGTTACAATTTTATAAATTTAATTTTGCTTTATAGTTGTAGCCATTCATCATTATAAATTTCACTGATTTTTGGTCTTGCCCATGCCTTTTTGTCTAACATTTTATGAATTAAGACACGACATTGATCACTGACATTTTCTGAATGAGCTGGATCAATTTCTAACTCATTTTCTATTATCTCTGCTACACTGTTGAATGGTGTTTGTTTGAATGTTATTATGTATAGTAGGATTCCCAATGCCCAAACGTCTTGTGGTTTTCCTTCATATGGCTCTCCTTTTAGAACTTCTGGGGATGCATAGTCAATTGTACCATGGAAAACTTGGAAAGGGCCATTAGTGGCGTATGCAGCTGATCCAAAATCAATCACTTGCACACAACCTTCGCTATCGATAATTATATTTTCTGTTTTAATATCTCTATGTATGATACCCAAACCATGAATGTGTTTTATCCCTGCTACAATTTGTTTAAAGATTAATTTTTGTTCGACCTCATCGATTTTATCTTTTTTCTCAATAAAATCAAAAAGGTCAATGCTACCTTTCATACTATGAACTAAAGTTTCAATGTAATAGAAATTTTCATCTTCGAAAAAATCTAACATGCGCAAAGTATTTTTATTTGGATATTTATGTAGTGTAGACATGATTTGTATTTCTCTAGGTATATTACCAAATTTGTTATCGCTAGTCCATGTCTCTTCCAAAACCTTTTCTTTGAATACTTTCTTAATCACAACAACATATTTATCCTCTTTATTAAGACATAATGATACTTTAGCAAAACCACCTTCACCCATATCCTGTAAAACTAAGAAATCAGAAAATTTTTTCTTATCTCTCATCTCTTTGGCATCGTTGCTACAATGTACAGGGTTTAAATGTTGCCTTGACTCATTACTAAATTCTGAGAAACTTTCGTTAGATGAACTCCTGGAACTGTCATCATCAAATAAAATTGACTTAATATAATCTTCATTTACTTTAAAAGGTATTTTTTTACCAAACTCACTTTTATCAAATTTAAATAAATTCGAAATATCATCTATTGACAAATTATCAAATTTATGCTCTTCTGGAATTAATCTGTTAACTTCAAAATCTTCATCTGACTTAAAAGTACCAATATTTTCAACATCAACTTCTTTAGTAAACATTTTCACCAGTGATGGAGAATTGATATATTCTGAGTGACTTGTTATGTATAAAAATATTGTATTACAATCGACTACTTGAAATGATGCATCAATTTTAATTTTAGATCTATTTTTATGTCTACCAGACAAACATTTTGATTCATATAAATAGTCATCATGTTTAAGTATTTTCCCTTGTATTTTTCTTAAGAAATATTCAGGAAATATCAACCCCTTATTTTCAGGTAACAGATAGTTCAGGTCCTTAAAATTTTCTAAAATATATTCTATCATCAATTGAAACTTTGGTATTATCTTTGTTATTGATTTATCAATTATTTCATCTTTTTTCCAACCAAATGTGTTCAATAAAAATTTTTCACTGCAATTTGTTATTCTCAAAGTCTTTGAATTCAAAATGAATAGTGAAGTTTCGTAAGGTATATTAAATGACGAAAACTTGATTTCGTTATTTGAGGCAATTTCATTTATTCTTGTTAAAGATGTGTATTGTGCTATATTCTGATCGGGTTGATTGACTGTAAATGACCCCAGGTTGTTAACTGCGTTAATAATTTCCTCTTTAGAATTCTCTTTCTTGAATAAAGGTTTAAATTGCGGTATTAATTGATCGATTTTGCGACATTCTTCCAGTTTTATTTCAGCATTATTGATTGTGGTTTTAGTTATTGAACCATTTTCACGATTAAATGATAATTTAAAATCGGTGACATCGTTTATTACTTGGAAAACTTAAATGAATGGAATCCTTGGATTTTTGTGACCATACACGTAACCAAATGGTAGTATTATTGAACCCAAAAGGTATATTTCATGATTTATTTCATTAGAATGATTAAGATTTTCCTCCATGTAGTTCAGGTAGTCATCACGAATATATTTTGGTAAAATTTCGTTAATTTGGAAATCCATTTTGAATTTATTATTTGCAATAGAGTCAGCTTTTTTAATTGTGAAGGGATACTCAGATTGTATTATAATTGTTGGAACCTGCATTCCAAATGGTAGCATATCCCATTCTAACAGGGGTATATCATTGAAGAATGGTGTCGCCAGCACGTCTATTGCTTCTTTATTATTTAACTGAGAATCTTTATTTGCAAATAAATTTAAATATAACCTTAAAAGATCGTATGGGAGATATGGATCTTCATGTTTGTATAATAAATCCTTAATTCTATTGTATATTGAATCTAATGTAGTTTCAATTTTTTCATTTTCATTGTTATTACTGTATTCCAGTATTTGAGGCAAATTCAACATCGAATCATTGTCTTTAATAGTTTTGAATGAATCTTTTAAAAAATTCAGTCTGCAAAGAGTATATTCATTTTTCAGGTTTGAATATTTTACCAATTGATCTAAATTATAAGCATAAAAATTTGAACTTTCATTTTTATCGCTTGAAACACTTGATATCACAGATTCAGTTGAGCCACCTCTTGACTGGTATAATTCCATATTTCTAAAAGCTTTGGTAACATAAGATCTTCTTCTTTTTGACAGGTCGCTTGTCACATTTAATCCAGTCATATTGTTGCCAATACTTCTTCTACTTACCCCATTCTGATTTCCAGATTCTACTGTAGTTGAACGAGAACTTATAGATAATCTATCTTTTAATGAGGTAAAGGAAGCAGTTGAATCATTTGAGGCCCCAATAAACGGCATATTTGAATGATTCTAAATCTAGTAACACTGTTGATAATACTTAAGAATGTGGTTATATTTCGTTTTTTTTCTAATTTATTAGAGAAATGACAGTTATACAGATGACCAATACAATAAAATAAAATACAAACAAATACACAATTTTGTAGTGTTAGATAATTCAGATACGTAATTAATTATAGCTTCTTTGTTGAGATTAAACTTACAAGAAGTGTAGATTACAAACAATAATTTAATTTTGCTTATTTAAATTAGTAGTCGTATCTTATTGAATTTATTAAAATAAAAGAGATAGTTTCATAATTTTTATTTTTGAAACGTTAGATTATAATTACAAATTGATAATTAATTTTTTTCTTTAAACCCAATGAATGTGTAATAAAGAAGATAACTTAGTTTTGCCTTCTAGTTTCTTCTTGAAATTCGTTTTGTTAGATACAGCTAGCTAACTACCTTTATGGACAATAAGGTTTGTTGTTCGCTCAGGATTGGATAGAACTAAAAATACCTAACTCATCCTGAGGGTTGCAGTATTTCTTTTGGAACTGTTACTATAATTATTAAAACTATTATTATATTCACAAATCAGGGTTCAAGGAGAATTCCCGTTCCCTAATAAACTATCTATCAAAAAATTCTAAAGGAAGACGAAAAAAAGAATACATAGTTGTCTCAAAAACAATTCTCATGTCGACCGATTAAAAGTAGTACATATTATTATCTAATCTGGAATAGATAGATAGATAGATAGATAGATGCATTACAGAGAGAAGGGGGGAAATGTTAGCCAGTGCTGGGGGAAAGATGGATATTATACGGGAAAATGGCTAGTGAGAGAGACAGAGAAGTAGACTCTATTGATAACGATATGAACTATGCCTGAGCTGAAACTAACTAACTGGTTATTTATTTGGTAGTTGATCCTGTTTATAATGTAGATAGTTCTTTCCTCCCAGATCCTTTTTGTGTATCCCGACTGTTAGTAATGAATAGGTGAGGTTTTGGTTTTGGTTTTGGTTTCTGTTCGCTTGGCTTAATGTATATCTCAGAGGCAACTAAAAGAAAGGACTAAGTCGATTTCGAGCCTTTAATTGAAAAATTTTCGAATTCGAATTCGAATTCGAAACTGAAACTCGTCAGAAAGAGGACAACGAAATAGGAAAAACGGAAGCAGGAGACGGAAACGGGGGGCGGCGGGGAGATGGGGGGTAGAATGATTTGTTAGAACGGAGAATATGAAGAGTGGAAGGAGACGCAGCAATGCGGAAAATAATTTAAGCAGAGTGGGAAGAAGCATACGGAGAAAATGTTGTATGCATGTGTCTCTTCTTATCCCATTTGGGTAATGGAGATGGAATAACATGAGAGAAGAAGCGTAGGATGGTTCGAGAATTTTATATTGTTGTAAATGTGCTTAAAACCTTTGGCAGGGAGATGAAAAGCAAAGGAACGTAGGGGCAGTTGGTGGTACAATACATTGTCAGCGGTAGTTCTAAAAGTTCTTGTTGCACGGAATTAACCGTTGCAGAGTTGATTAATAGTTCCATGTTTTGTTTTGTTTTGTCTTGCTTCTTCATTTTCCTGACCCATAGGGATTTGTGACAGTAACAAAACATTGCGGTGAAAACAGCTGATAATGGGTTTATTTCTGTTTTCTTTAGATTGTAACAAAAAATTTTGATGAAGTACGCTCTATGAATCAGTCGGCTTTCTTGGTTAAAATAAATCTTGGTTACCTCCGGTCCATGTTTACCCGGACTTGAAAAAAGAGACCAGATGCTGGAGAACTTGATATTTGTGCACTGCAGACACGCAAGCAAACGTTATACTAACAACTCTCCGCGCCCCCCTCCCCCCCTCTTCCCCTCCTATCCGTTCGTATATTTTGTCCCCAATTGGCTCAAGACAGCTAATGCACCAATGTGTGTATGGTCGGTCGGATTAAAAGGAAAAGGAAACGGTGTAGGTTGAAAGGTATGAAAGGAGAAAAATATAGATGATTCCGTCCATAACGATTCATTAACCACTCAATCTCATATGCAGTAGTGTTTAATTAAATACACGTATTATGTGTCTTTGTGTTTGTGTTAGGATTTTTAGTATCCTAATTAGGAAATTAACTTCAATATATAGAGCACAAAAGGGATTCTACATTATTTTTGCTGCATCCTGACTCGCTGTCTCTCTACCTATTAAATTTACGATTCATAAACCAATCATCCCAGCCAATGAGCCCATGTGTTGAATCTATTTCCTCTCGTTTCCCTCTTCTCTCTAATTTGATAATCACATTACTTAGATTAGTCTATAAGATTAAATTTATACTATTTAAGTCATGTGACTTTAATTTGTAACATGCCAATGTTTATATTATATTTTACTGCCCCTTTTAGCCAAGATGAATAACTCAATACTGCAAATGAGTCACGAACTACTAACAGATACTTATATAGCCAAGGATAGTTGTCATAGTAAAAGCGTTTTGTAATTTATTGAAATACTTAGAACTGAAGTAACCAAATAATTCTAGTCCCAACTGTTCAAACATACTGACAGATACCGGATTTTACCGAAAGATCGGTTATGTAATTGATGGATTAGATCGTAGACCTCCCTCCCCCCGGTTTATTACTTTCTTAAATTTTGGTTTCACCTTTTTGCAACTACTACTCCTGTTATCTTAAATTCATTTCGAGCATGCATGACATTAATTAATTCCACTTATCGTTGAATGTCTCATTGATTTAAGCTTTTTAAAATACACTATTTCAAGTTAAAGACACCTTAACCACTCAATAAAGAATACTCTTCTGTCATTGTGTTACATTCATTATTAACTTTAATATCTCACGAATATTCTTAATCTAGTCTCTTAACCTTCAACTCCTTTTTCACACGTGATGATGAGGCTATTATAATGAACTAGAATGACAGGTACTGTAATGTATTATTCAATTCAATCCTATTCGATGGTTTTTGTGTGACAGAGATTTCTTGAATCAGTGTCTCTTTCTATAAGGTACACTAAACGCAAATTTAGATTAAGGTTTTATAGAATTTGTGTCTAGAATTTTGATTTCTCTAATGTAATGTAATGCAATGTAATGCAATGCAATGCAATATTTTTTTTTTAAAATAATTCACTCATATATATTCACTTTTAAATTAACATATTTCTTTTATTACATGATTCATTGAGTAATCATCGAATTTAAGGGAGAATTAAAGGCAAGTACTCCAGAGATAAATAATTAATTAGGATAGTAAGAATTAAATTAATATATTAAATTGAAAATTAGTATAACTACCAAAAATATAAAAACCTATAGACACTAATATATATATATATATCGAATTATATGTTTCAATTGATAAATTTTTGAACCTAATTTGTAGAGTTGAGTGAAGGAGGTTTGGATTTTTATCAAATTTATACATATAATACTATATTTATTATATTAGACTATTATATATATAGATTTGATATTTTTGGTTGAAAATTACAATTACAGACAGTCATTTGAGAAGAAAGATCCAAAAGAAAAAAACACCAATAACTAGATTATATTATATGAAAATGAATTTCAATTGCACATTATTACTTACTGGTCTCAGTATGTTCCTTTATAATTTTGAACAATTAAAGTCATATGAGTTTAGTTTACGTAATAAAAAGAAAAAAATTAATCTATCATTAGATAATGAATTAGAAAACTTTATTATTTCAATTCTAAATTCAGCTTCACTTTATCTTTTAGTTTATACTGTCATAAGCATGTTATATTGGAGGTTTTTTGTTCCAATTTATATTTTAGCATTAAGTTTTATTGGTTTGAACTCATTTTTCATTATATGGTTACAATCAATGTTACACATTAATTTTTTGACTTTATTCATAGTTAAACAATTAGAAATAAGCCAAAACCAATGTAAAAATCATAATTTAAATTTAGATTTAAGTTTACATTCTTCATCAATTATCCAACAAGAAAATAAGAACAATTTAAATAACAAAATAAAAAATAAAAATAAAAATAGAAACAAAAATAAAAAGCCAAGTCAATTATTGAAAAAAATTAACCCTTCAATTTTAATAATAACTACGCTTGAATTTTTATATAAAATATCATTCATTGCATTTACATCATTACTGTCATTGGTACCATTTATTGGACCCTTAACTGCATTTTATCATTTATTCATTAAATTTAAACGAAAAAGAGTTTCAAATCTTTACCATAAAGATTTGAAAATATACAAAAATAATAATAAAAATTTAACAACTACAACTATTACTAATGCATCTTCGCCGAATATAAAACAAGAAACAAATATACTAACCAATTCAGTTAAATTTTTAATAAATAGATGGATTTCATTCCTAAGTTATTCATTGGTTTTTCTATTTGGCATTGATATTACAAACAGTAGTAATAAAAAATCAGGATATTAAAAAAATTATCCTAAACTACTAAATAAGTATTGGAAAGGTTCCTGGTGAATATATCCTCCCAAAAAATTTTAAAATCAGGTTAAAATCCTTATAAATTTTAAAAACCAATTTCCCTATCCCATAATTATTCTCTTCCTTCTTAAGAATAAAGGTTTGACCCAAAATTTAACTTTAAAACGTCTAAAGAATCTTCAAAGGGAAAACTTTCCTCTTTTTAAAGGGGAAGTGCCTTAAAACACTATACCCCCATATACGTAAACAAAGAAACTTTCCTCAAACTTTAAGGTTAATAAATTTATAAATGGAAAATTCCACCCCTTTTCGGGGATTCCAGAAGCGGAATAAGACGGCTCAGGCCCATATTCACCCTGGACCTTATTTGAGAAAGAATAGAACTGGCCACAATATATTATATAACTCTGCGGAGCGTTCAACAAAAAGAAAGGCTATAAGGTG